CCCCCCCTGAGTAGTGCCCTCCAGCCAGCATTGCGGGAGCTCGGGAGATATGAGTGCGTTACCCTTCCCAAAAATACCTGCATGTGCTCCCAAAAGTACAAAGGAAAGGCTGGACTGGCCCGCAGCCGCCTCCACTGCGCTCCCAGACCCGGGCGCGGATGGCAGGGCGGAGCGGGGGCGACGAGRGAGCCGGGGAAGAACAATAAACCCCAAGTCCGAACGTACCTTCTCCTTTCTCTGAACTGTGAAACCAGATTTCCTCAGAAGCCTACGGCGGGGCTCTTTGCTTTTAAGCGGCGGGAGAGCTCGAAGAAAGTTGAGTAAATCTCTTCGGATAAAGTTGCAGAAGATGAGTTAACCCGGGAGAGGAGAGGGAGAGATGGAGGGTTCATCCGAGTTTCTCCTTTTGTTCAAGTTGCCCGAGCAGACAAAGAGCCGGCAGCGGCGGCAGGTCCCCCGCGCCCCTGCTCCCCCCGCGGTCTGGGCGCCGCCGGGGTCCCGTACTGCCCTCGCCCCCCGCCTCCTCCCACCACCGCAACTTTCCGTCTGCTCCATCCCTCCTCAGCCCCGACCCCGGCTCCGGCACAAAACTTCCCTCGAACTGAACCTCCCAGAAAAAGAAAACAATTTAATTCAAGGCGGGGGAGTGGGGGGTGGAAAGGGAGAGAACCATCTCTCAAATCATTATTTCCGGTAGATGCACCTCTTTGTTTGGATTCCCCTGACTGTCAGTGAGGACAAGCCTCTGGGGATCTGCTTTCGGACAGTTTGATCCGCCGGAATGAGACGGGCAAACGCAGGACATAAAGAAAAATAACTTTAAAAGAAAGAAAGCGGGGGGCGGGAGTAAATAGAAAACAATATAAAACTCCGGAGTTGCGAAACGAACCCTTTCTTCATGGACACGGGAAGTACATAAATAAACAATTGAAGGGGAATTTCGGAAAACTGTTGCTTCTGCTCCCCCTCCCCTTCACACTTTTCCACAGAATGTTACAAAAAAAGCCCCCCGAAAGCTCCTGGCCGGGRCTCCGTGCCGCCGCCGCCAGCTCCTGGCATCCCTACCTGTTGCGTAAAGCGCAAAGATGGGGCCGACCGCATCCGTCCCAAAGAAACCAAAAGGGAAGGAGGGGACCGCCCTCACCCCACGGTCCCTTCACCTGCCCTCCCGCCCCCCCCACGGGCACACCCGACGCGGGAGTGGCCGCAGCCCCGGCGCGTCCCCGGCGGAACGCGCGGCCGCCCCGCTCCCTGCCCGGCCCCGGCCGTCGGGGCGCACAGGTCCCGTCGAAAGTTTGGCGGGGCGGGGCCGGGGTGCGCCGCKGCCTCGCACCGAGACAAAAGGAGAGCGGAGCAGCGCTGCAACTCACCTTGGAGGGAGAGACTGAGRCTGAGGAGACACCTTCCGCCTCGGTCGTCCTCCTCCTCCTTCCCAACCTCCGGCCCTGTGGCGACGGCGGGACCGTGGGACGGGCTCACGCTGCGGACAGGGGCGCAATCACCCGCTTCAGCCCCGTCGAGGGTCCGCTCCCCGGTGCTAAACAAAAGGGGAGGGAGCGGCCCTGCCGCCCCCGCCCCGCCCGCCCCGCTGTCCCTAACTTTTTGGTGCCCACTTAGCATCCCAGCGAGCCGGCCCGCGCTCGGGAAGGACGGGGGGAAGCGAGGGGGCGCGCCCGAAGCGGGACCCCCAGGTCGGGGCAGCGGGGCCGGGGCTGCCGGCAGGGCGGTAACGCTCCCGGGAGGTGCCGCCGGATGGGGGGCCAGGACACGGACCCGCTGCTCATTGTSTGTCCGAGGATGTGCCCGTGGAAGGGCGGCGTGAGGATGCCCCTGAGTCTGTGCATTGCGTGGGCATCCACAGCACACGTGGGGGTCTTGTGAGTTTGTGCGCTGCGTGCGCACGGTGGGCATGGGTGCCAGAGGCCCCAGCCCCCAGGGCCTGAAATATGTCCCCARCTGCTGTTTACTTTCTTTTCTTTACTTTTTTTTCCCCCCCTTTGAATGGGAGAGGAATATTGAAGAAGTTACTAGGAAATGGTAGTTAGTAGCAGCCCACACTTGACATGGTAGGGCTAATTTTTCAGAGTCAGAAAACAGAGGATGATCTTGAGATGTGGGGTTTTTTAGAAGGAAGAAGAGGACAGAAAGAGCACACTATTTAGCCTTTGGTGTCCTGTTGACAATTCCTACAGTCCCTGCCCACGTGTGACTCTTCCTATTTTCCTTCAGTTCATGTTGATTTCATACTACCAACCCCAGCTTCTTCCAGCTCCTTTCCCTCTACCCATCTTCCCTACCTTTGAGGATCATTCAAACCACTCCCTCCTACCCAATGCTGTCAGCTTCAAAATTTTGTTCTTCAAAACATTTTGCAACTCCCCCCAGGATCAATCTTTTTATCCTTGTGCCCCAGAGAAAATGCCCCCAACCCTTTCATTGCTGCCTGTGATTTATGTTGCTCTCTAGCACTGTCTTCCTGCATTCTGCTGCAATGTACATTGCTGTTGGTTTCCGTTATAGATTTCTGACTTGAAAGATAATACATATCACAGTGTAACACCAGGCAGGAGAAGTGCATCCTTGTAGTCATTATTTACCATTCCTTTCACCCTCTTCTGCGCCTCTGCATTGAGTGCTCTGGAGCAGCTGTCATAACGCTTTTGCAATTTCCTCCTCAATCGCTTTCTTCACACTGTTTCTCCTTTCTATCCATTTCTGACTTCTCACAGATTTTTAGTCTCTCCATCTAAACTATTTCCATAGKTGCTTTGTGCATGATTCTCTTTCCACCTCTGCACTTTTGTTTCCTTTATTCTTWGGTTTCATGATGGAAGAGGAATGTTGACTGCACCATAGTTTTTTTCCTTACTTTCATGCTTATTTTCTCTGGTTTTCACATGCACTCTCTTAGCAGGGCACACTGAAGCCCAGCAAACACATACTCTTCTGGTAACACAAACATAATTTTTTGCTGTGCTTCTTTCCCAAACAGTCCCCAAATCCAGTGGAGGAACTGTGCATTGTGACACAACCAGCAAACATCTTACAGAGGGCTGCTCTTACTGACTTTTTCTGGAAAAACACAGACTGTACAAATAGCTCCTTGTGTCATGGGATTTTGGCTTTAGCAGGCATCGAAGACATGTTGCATAAAGGTATAACTTGCTGAGAATTTGTAAAGATGTTGACTTGCCCCGTGGCCTGMCAGCTCGGTTGGAGTTTGTGGGGCAGGATCACCCATGTGCTTCTCTTCCTTCCCTTGGAAGCTGGAGGCCAAAAGCTTCTRAAAATATATAATCATATGCATTGTAATTTTCTGGTACTGGTGGTATTTAAACAAGGTATGTTATGACTTCATTATGAGTGATAAAGATTAACTAATTATTAGAGCAGAGGTCACCAGTTGCCTTGGGTCCYGTAATCATGGATCACATTCAATACACAAAAGAAGAGGAGAGTCACCATTGATAATATCTAGTGAAGAGTTAACTGAGCAAGGATGAGAAAAATAGAAAATTTGCTTGAAAGGACAAAAATGTCAGAAACATTTCAATAAAAGCTATTGTGTCTTATAGAAKGGCTTATTTGATGGATAAGTGACCATCTGCCAGTGAAAAAATTAAGTTTGGCTAAAATTCCCTTGTAGCTCATTGGCCAAGTAAAGAAAAGCGTTAAACTGTGAAAAGGAATACATGAGAGGCAATAATATAAGGCACAGTTTATTATAATTAACATGAAGTAGAAATTATATAATGTACAAAATTATTTGGAAAAGTCAAAAACATTACATAAAAATCCACAACTTGAAAGGATGAAATTCAAATAACTTTGCAGTAAGTGAGGAATGAAGTATCTCCTAATAATATTCACAGGCCTGTCAGTAGACACAGTAATATATTTAATTATGAGACAAAATATACTAAAAATATACCTATGTTCTGTAAGTGGAAAGACAAATATTGCACACAGAAAATTACCTACTTTTTGGTCTTTGGGAAGCACCCATCTCCACTAAACACTGAATCCTTAGCCCCAGAATCCTTGCACCCTGACATCAGAAAATACTTGATACTTCATGTCACAGTGACGTTCAGTTTAATAAATCCTGGAATGTCATGGAAATTATGGGAATCTATTGCCAACCTTGTGCCAATATGAAAAAAGGAGAGAGTGACACAGATCACAATACTCTATTTTGCCTGACATTCATCCCTTAAAAATAGTGGAAAGCCTGACATAGGATTAAACTCAAGGAGAACTAAGGATAGGAGTAATGATTCTAAAGCAGTGTTCCATCTTTAATTCCTTTTTTGCCTTTGTATTTACATTTCACTGTGGATGTGGGATGGGTCAGAATGCAGATCTAGTGATAGCTCCACTTGCTGACTGATCTGGCTTGAAGAATGCCACAATGCTGAAGAAATTTCCCATAGAGTGCCAATATTTAAACATTTCCAAATGGCACTGACCTAGTCTCTTCTGGTACCCAAATAATGGGAACAAGTGTCCTATACCAAATCTGTGTTTGGTCTTTGAGTCCTTGATCCCCGCACTGCACAACCACATTTTTCTTAATTCTTTCACCTATCTGATCTCTTTCTGTCTCCATATGACTTTTACTCTGCTTCCCAAGCCTCCTCGGGGAAACGCTTCATCAAAATTAACTATAGACACAATTTCCAGACTTTTAAGATCAAAAAAGTTCACTAAAAGTTCATTAAATCATCATATAAAAGGTCTTTTTTTTGTGGCAAACTAGACAGAAAATGTAATCCAGTTTTTTTCTGTATTTATCCTGRTTATCCRTAGTCCTCTGAAGTCTGACTTCCAKAAAGTTCYATTTMGCTAAAACATTTTGTGACACAGTCAACCAYATCTCAAGAATAAAGGAAACTATGACCGTAGCTGTTAAAAGAAAGAAAACACTAATACAAAAGCAACAAAGACTGAACTTCACTTTATATCAAAATTTGTTTGGCTTTAGCTTCTAGTTACTTTTAAAATTTATTTTATGKCTCGCCACCACATTAAATTAGCGTATAGCTAATTTTATAAATGGGCGCCTGAAAGCAAGACTGGCTGCACMGGACAGGAAACCTTCCTGCAGAGATAATGTACTTACAGGATTGTTTTAATCTCTTTGAGAGATTACTTACATTAACTAGTTTAGGTTCCATTACATTTACCAAGAAAACATACAAGTGCTTGAAGTTTGCCAGCTGGGTGGGTTTTTGGCATTGTTACTCTCATTCAAGCACACTAAGGGCAAAGGCAATTTAGAAGGACAAGTCAGTGTCACAACAGTGGTGTGAAGACTGGAACCCCCAAGCCCTGCATTTCGTGTAGCTGCTGTAAACATCTCCCATGCCAATCAAAATGAACAGCAGCCCAGCCTGCAGCAGGGAGCTGGGTGCTGATTATGTCTCACTCCCCTTATCACACAGTGCCCCAGAAGAAGAGTGCTGGTTTCAGTTCTTTCTATTTTAATACATCAGTTTTAAACCCACAGAACTCACAGAAAAGTTTGTGTACATCAGCTACAGTAGCTGTCTTTGCTTTCACTGTAAGAAAAAAATCTGCACAAAAAGTTCAGTGTTGCTTGACCCTGCTTCCCTSAGAAGTGAACTGCTACTCATCCTCCAAGAGCATCTGAAAGTTTGGACTTCCCTGTGACCTCTTGGATGTTGACATGTGCAGGAAGATGAGCAATGCAGTAGCTTATCAGATAATCAAAATGTGGTCTTTTAGGGGATAATTCAGAGGCCCTATTGAGTTTTGCTGTCCTAGTAAATTTTTGAATCTCATTTTATTTTTCTATACGCAGAGGCTGATTTCACCACTACTCTCTTTCGAAGAAGTGTGAATCAAATCAATAGGTCAATCCACTCCTGTAAATGTAAAGACCAAGAAAGACAAACCTGAAAATGAAAGAATTGTTTTGGCATGAATATATTCTTCTCTGTAGACACATACCCAGCAAATTTATAGAATGTTTGGTTTTGGGTTTTGGTTTTTGTTTTTTTGGGGTTTTGTTTTTTTTTTTTNGAGGAAAAACTCAAAAACAAAAACCCAACCTAAACTATTCCAAAAGGGTCAAAAACCATGAGCTTTCCAGCTCTTTCTCAAAATCACCTAAGACATAACATCTGTACTCTAGAGAAAGAAAATACAATTTGTAATTGATTTGCAACCAGCTGTATTTTCCTAGTGTTTTCTCCTAAGTCAGAAAAAGGGCAGTGAAATCCTCTCTGGTCTTTTCCATCAAGTCTCCATTTTGATCAAGCCAGGGAAAGTCTTAGCTTGTAG